CAAATTAAAACCACAGTGAGATTCCATCTTACTTCAGAAAGAATGGCCAGGATCAAGAAAACCACCAATAACAAATGCTGGAGAGGCTGTGGGGAAAAAGGAACTCTTCTGTACTTTTGGTGGGAATGTAGACTGGCAAAATCACTGTGGAAATCAATGTGGAGGTTCCTCAAAAAGTTGGGATTGGAGGTCCTATTTGATCCAGCTATGCAACTTCTGGGCATTTTCCCAGAAGAATTGAAAACATCATACCACAGTGATATATGTGCACCCATGTTTATAGCAGCACAATTTGCAATAGTCAAATCTTGCAAACAACCCAAATGCCCATCAACTGAGGAATGAATAAAAAGGATTTTTATACAATGGAGTACTACTCAGCCATAAAGAAGGATCACGCTGAGGCTTTTATAGGTAAAAGGATGTGATTTGAGACCATACTCATAAGTGAGATAAGTCAAACTCATGTGTGTAAATACCATATTATCTCCCTATTTTAAGGAACTGAAAGAGTAAATAGAATCTAAAATCTTCAATAAATTTTGTGAAAGGCTAAGAAATTGCTGATAGGGGAAAATAACTTGGATAAGGAAAAGGAGAAAGAAAAGGAAGAAGAAAAAAATATAAATTTGTATATTTACACTTAATATAGCTAAGATGATTGTGCTACTAACTCTATTAATTCTTGGAACAAAACAGTTAACACACCTAGGATTAGATCAATTTTGCATGTCTTTATCTGGTAATCCAAGTAACTCTTTTGAAGATAACTATGCAAAGTAACCTTTGTTAAATTCCTACTACCTTGTTTTGAAAGCCTATATTGTTATTGTTTTGAGATTTTTGTTATTGTTTATTTGCCTCTTTTGTTTCTTGTTTTTCATTTTGTTTTGTTTTTTCCTCTTTAAAATAAAAAAAGAGAACGGGCAGAGAATTGCCCAAGTGCTGAATCAAGGAGCAAATACTGAGCCTGTTCGGCAGGTGCAAGGGGAGGAGAAGCACTGCGCCTGCTTTGTGTGGGGATGGTGCGGTGCAGTCAGCTGACTGCGTTCATCAGGATGTGGTGCTGGGCTTTCCAGAGCCTGCAGTCTTGTGACTGAGATAAGCGGGATGGGAATCTCCTCAGTTACGGTTGGAGCTGTACTGCTCTGGCCAGGTGCAGTTTCTGAGAAACATGGAAGCCAAGGGGCAGGGAGAGCCAGGGCTGGGGGGCGTGGTGCCTGGTTGGTACCGGCTGCCAAGGAATCAAACACTAATAAGAGCAGTTCCACGTCTCAGCTGGGAATGTATCCAGCTTCACCGGAGGGAGGCTGAACCTGAGAAACGGTCCAAGTGAGGCAGACAGCCCAGTCCGCGTGGGGAGTGGGAGAGGTAGACCCTTCTCCCTTTCCAATTTTCTTACCTCTTTCTGAAAACCTTTACAGATTTCTCTCAGCAAGCTCCACGCACTCTCAGCACTGGTTAGACCATCCACCATCCCTCTCCTTATCAAAAGAATGACTTGAATTTCTCTTAGTCATTCTCATCTACATCAGAGCTGAAAATTAGAATCTGGGACCCTTTGAAAAAGACAATCACAGATCAGTGGTCAGACAAAGTTTACACACCGTTTATCACCTGTAATTATATGTTTGCTTCAACTTGTTTCCGTGTTTATTTTCTCACTGCCACCTAGTAGTGACACAGATTTGCTTGGTTTTCACATGGGAGTGTGGGCTGAGTTCGTCCCATTTTTTTCTAAGCTGAAATCCACAGCCTTCTTCTGTGTTTATATTAGAATGATCATTTCAAACTTGTCTTCAGCTCAACCATTTTTCAAGTTAACAAGGTAATTAATCATCTTTCAGATAGAACTGCACACAAGTCCCTGTTTCCTTATTTGCTGCTAACACTTCTCTGTTTTTGACATTAGCCAGAGCTGAGCTGTATCTTCAGCCATGATTCACATGTTATAAATATCAGGGTCTGTCATGTTTCTTGCATGTTAATGTATCAAGACACACTTATTAAATGTGCATCATATGCCTTCTGGGCTCTGTGTTAGATTACAGAAATATGCCAAGGAATAGTAATTGTGTTACACAATACAGTAGTAAACAGTTGTGTTTACCGAGCATGCACTATGTGCCAGACACTATGCTAAATACTTTACCTCAACTGTCTGGTTCAATCTTCCCATCCTCATCACTCTTGTCTTATGGATGAGGAATGTAGGGTTAGGGAGCTGAGTAACATACTCAGCAATTCAGGGTGCTGATTACCAGAGCTGAGAATTGAATCCAATCATCTGACTTCAGAGTTCTTTAAAAATTGAATAAGTTACCTTTTATGCAGCAGTTCTCTCAAAAGTTGTCTCAGATGGCAAATATTTCTCTTTTCAAATTGTTTTGCACACCTTTTCATCAACAGCTGATTATATCCAGGGCTCAAACCACAGGAAAAATTGGAGGCAGGCCCCTCGTTGGCAAACTTTGTCTTTCGTGACCTTAACATGATTAGACTTGTTATAATTTGAAAAATTGCTTTTAGTTGATATATAATAACGGTCCACATTTACGGGGCATAATATGACATTTTAATCTACATATACAATGTGCAATGACCAAATCAGGATAACTGGCATATCTATAATCTTAAGCATTGATCATTTATTTGCATCAGGAACCTTCAAAAATCCTCTCTGCCCCATGTTTTAAAATATACACTTGATCATTTTCAGATGTGGTTAAGCTTCTGCATACTAAAGCCTTCTTGGGTGAAGGCTTCTTGATATTTGTTCTTAGTACCTTTTTTGTACCAGGAACTGAATTTAGGACCTTGCACTTGCCAGGCAGACCTAGATTCACCTCCCTCATGCATCTATAAATGTGCTTATTTATCTGGAATCAATATGGACTCATGAATTTCTGTTGTTATTAATTCTGATATTCAAACTGTCCTAATTCAGCCAGTCAGAGTCCCTTCAGACTGCCTTTCCTTTCCCGCTGACATAACTCCATCATTTGTGGATCACTTTCTTTGCTTTCAGACCTGAGAGATTCCAGCCTCGCTCATCCTCACACTGCCCTACCCTAGCCCCAAATCAGATATTGCTCTGAGAAGCCCCTCACTCCTCCCACCCTGGTTCCATGAGGAATGGAATTTGAAACCAGGAACTGGGAAGCTGTCCAAAACCTTGATGGCACAATGGAAAGCCCTCGTCATGAATTTAAACCTGCTACTCACACAGAAAGCAGGCTCATTGCTCCCCAAGGGATCAGCAATGAACGGGTGTCAGAAGAGATGACTGGTTCCTCCTCATTTGTTTTGTGTACTTGTTTTAGACCCACACTATACTTGCCAACCCCAGAGAGAAATGGGGTTCATGGAGAATGCCCGGCCCCTTTGCTGTAGGGCTGAGGAAGCACTGATCTACTTATCCTGACCCTGGCTCTCAGCGTAATGCTAGGACCATCTTTGAGATGAAGACTTCCAGACCGTTTATATTTCTTTTTGAATGAAGGCTTTTATGAGTATAATCTGCTCCACAATCTAAAGAGGGTTAAAATGCTGCTATCTTTCCCCTGGTGGCCCAGAAGAAACTGTGCCGGGTGGTTGGCAGTCTACCCATGGCACCAGCTCCCAGGGCCCTCTGCACTCGGCCGGCTCAGGCAGCTGAACAGAACTGCGCACAGGAAGGGCCACTGTTCTCACCCCCTTTCCACACAGCTCCCTTCCCTGGCTCTGACACCAACACGCAGAGCCTTCTCTGTGCACTAGACGTTGTTTATGTTCACAGACTGGAAGGAACACGTCCAGTGGCAGTACCCCAGGCCTGCCCGCCTTGTCACCCCTGAGATATTCACTTGATCTGTTGTTCCTCAGCTGAGCACAGAAAAACCGCGGCCAGAGCTGCACTGCCAATTTGGGCAGTGGAGGCCCCTTCCCTGCTGGCACAGCCTCCCTGCGGAGTTACGGTCAGGTGAGGGATAAGTGACAGGCAGGGTAGAACTTAGTGACTGGGAATGTGATGAAGCTCACTCTGTACTTGACATTTTCCCTTTCACACTTGCAATTAAGAAAGGAAGAGTTAAAAAAAAAAACACCTTTATAACCTGGTAGCTCAGAGATACGAGTGCTATATAAACTTGTTCTTCACCGGAACTCTTTCTTTTTCAGTCAGTATCAAGTTACTTTCTTTAGAAGACATAGACACATCTCTTTCATACATTATTTCCCTTCTGATTAAAAAAATCAAACAACACAAGTAAAACAGTGCTTTCTGCCTTCAGGTTTAGCGTTCTGTCTTTTATAATCTCAATAAATGGGAAATGTGCTGAGCATGTGTCTGATGTTCTAGAGCTCACTTACGTCCACTGTGTGTTTGAAATGCAGCAATCTGTGGAAACGCTTATACAGACTGCGGGGTAACAGAGCCCTTTCCTCCCCCCACCAACAAAGCTCGCCTTTCTGCCAAGAAGTTTTTTGGCAGTTTTTAAAAAGTTTACTCTATTAAAAATGTTATAGACCAAATGGTTTTCCAATTGTCTTGAATGGGGGCCCTGACTTCAGCCCCAGAAGAGAGGGGTGCAGAAGTTCTAGGGTCTTGTTTATTTATGCAGAAGATTGTTGTTAATTTTCAGACCCTGCACTAGAGAACAGGGTGTGTGTACCGTTTATAAAAAGGGAGTTCGATATTGAGATAAAATTATTTATTTTAAACAAAGGCTGTTCAAAGTGAGGAGAGGGGTTGCCAGATCCCTTGTGTTTTATAAAATGCCATATTTTCCTGTTTATGTGATTGTTGATGACACTGTGTGCCTTGGGGCCCTGCAGAGGATTTTGTGAAAGCTGCACTTGTGGTCTATCTTCCTGACATGACATTCCTTTCATCTAGCTTTGTTTCCAAAATATGTGTATGCAAATATCCAAGGGACACACCAAGCGTTGCTTTTAAAATAGACATTCACCAAATTTGATCCATACTTCTGCTTATGTGTTTTCTTTTCTTTCTCCTCTAGAACAAGAAGCTCCTTTATGCGAAGATGAAGGGGGCACAGAGGCGGAAGCGAAGGGTAATGTGTACTGGCGGGACTGTCGTGGGGCCACACGAATGTCTGTTGAGTGGGGGATTTGACAAATGGGGCCTTCAGCTGTTGGGACACAGCAGAATACTGTCCCATGAAGTGCTAGGGGCTGAGCAGAGGTCCTGTGTGACTGGAGCCACACCTAAAACATCTGCCCTTGACTTCTAGGATAACGTCTCCTAGCACATAATTTTTGGTGGAGTGTCCAGGTTTGTGGTGATTCCTGCCTCCTTCCAGTCAGAGGATGCCTGCTATTTCCCTTACTTGGGTGGGGAGTATAGGTGATATCTAAGGGAATATCTGCAGGTCAGTAGACAAAACCAATGACACATCTGCATCAATTTCACAAAAACACAAGACAGGAGTGAGGCAGTGCCAAACTGTATGCTCCCAGCCATCATTACAAAGGAACACTGGGCAACAGACTAGGAAAATAAACCTCATTTCTCCTATATCTCTTTCCTCTTGACCCAGCCAGATTGATGTAGAATTCTCTCCATCTGTCGTATTTGTTTGCTGACTGCTGAGTTTACTAAAATAAGTTACTAATTATACCAGGGCTGTCCAAGGTGGACTGAGTCTGAGTGCTCTATCTTTTGGTTTAGAGCTGAATGCCAAATTTGATTTGAGTTTCTCAGTGCATTTTATGGCACTGAGACTTAATAAGTGATCCATGTCTGTTATGCTAACCCACTGATATTTTATAGACAGAAAAACCTGGACACTAGACCTTTCTCCTGACCCGATTGGAGGGGCTGGAGGAGAGGGAACCTCATTATTACACAGGAAATTATCATAAGATAGTAACTATTTTAGTTAAAACATACAAAGCAAAACCTATATCCAAGGCCACTGAACATTTATTCAGAATAGCAAGTACCTGAACCCTGGAAAAATTTGGGAATCTGGACAGTGGTAACATGTCCAGATCATCTGAATAGTTTTGCCAAATTTAAAGTGCTTTAAGAAGTATGGGTTTTAAGTCTTGACATTAGTCCTCTGGCCACTGTGCTGCCCAGCAATACCCAGAATACAAACAGCCAATTTCCTGCGTGAGAAGCAGCGCGTTGTTACATCTGGAAACAGATATTGTTTGGGAGAGTTAACAGGATTGTTAGGGATTTTCATTGGTGATTGCAGCTTCAAGTGGCAGATGGTGACAGGAAGAGTATAATATGTTTTTGACAGAACATCAAGAAATTCTATTCCAGGAGTTCAGAATACACATAATTTACCAGGAAGATGGCTTGTATATCTCCCCAAGGCACAAAGGGTACATTTCCAAATGAGACCAGGGGTTGACCCCAAATGAGTGGCTCCACATGGAGCTCTGCCTTTACTTCCTGATCCTCCACTCCTTGGGCTCCAACTCAGTGAACGACTGTGGGTCACAAGCTAGGTTGCTTTTCCATGAGACCAGTGATTACCAAAACTCAAAATTCTGGCTAAGACACATATTATAAAGGACTTTACTTTGGCCTCCACTCCCTTCACATAGGAAAGGCTTAGAATTTGGGAAAATAAAGGTCACATAGATCCCAAGGTATCAAATTCTTCCTGTTCTCAGGCATCTAAAAAGACCCGTTCTCAGGACATGAGCCATGAGCCTCTCAAGAATTGAGAGAACAGAAGTCGCCTCCCCGAACATCAGATCTTAGATGGTGCCCCATCTTGATTTGAAATCTTAGCCACCCCCTCAAAAACATGAAACAATATAAACAAATTGCAGGCTTGCTTTTTTCAGAAATCAACCCATTTAGGCTAATCATCGGAGGGTTTCTGGGAGACACCAAAGCAAATATCCATTCTGTGGATTCTTCCAGCTGTGTAAAGGGATGTTCTCTGTGTGAGCTAACTGGTCCTCACCTAAGTGAGGGAGAAGACAAATATACGTGCCCTGCCCTCTGGAGAACATGAAAACCAAGGCTCATTATTATTATGCTCAAGGGCTGGATTCAGTTTTGGATAAACAATTATGCAAAAAAGTTCAAGTAACTGTTAATTTTCTTTCCTTTACCCCCACCCTTTGACATTTTTGGGATCTGGACAGCAAGACTGTGTCCCGTGATATTTGGTATTTGGTAAACATGAGCATCTCCTAGTCCCTTTTAATATAATCGAATTATTAGAATAAATATTATCACTAAATAGAAATATATTTATGATATTAAATGTACTTTTTCAACCCACACTTCTGCCCACCCAGATATCCCAGGATAAGCCAGACGACTGTAGGTGACAATCCCCAAGAGGAAAAATATTCTTTTGAGTATTTCTGAAATGATGTGCTACTTTTTTAGCTATCTGAGGCCTTACTGATTTTGTAATTCTCACCTCGTGTGTGATGGAGTTTTGCAAGAGTGAGTTGTGTTTTCAACAATTCATACTTTTACCAGTCAGAATGTGGAAGGATATTTAGAAATACTGAGTTCAGATTTTACTCCTCTTTTGGAGAATTTTGCTAACCTTTCAAAAGTGCCACGGCCGGCCAGTGCCAGGAGCAAGAGATAGTCACCTGGGAATGAACTGCCTCCATCTGCTCGTGGGGGCTTGGCATGCAGCAGAATTGCTGGTCATCTGTTAACTACAGCCTTTTTTTAATATTTTTGTTCCATTACTGGAAGGCAACTTAAATAAACAAATATCTTCCAAATCTTTTGAATTTTTTTTTCTGCTTGCTAAACACTGTGTTGTAAAGCTTCAATTACTAGTTCAAATCCAAACCTCAAACAATAGGTATTAGAGAGGGAATAAAAAACCCTGACTCACACGTAAGATCACAGATGAAAGAGATTTCAGCATATGGAGTCCTGACCAAAACACAGTAGGCTTCCAGAAAATTTCCTTCTTTTCTTCAGCTTTTGAATTTGACTGAGGGAGGATGCAAATGGTCGCTCAAGTCCGTCCCTTAACGAATCTCTTTGGTGGATGCTGGCACAAAAGCCAGTTACAACCATAAGATGACTGGGAACCAGTTTTCAGATTCTAATTCTCACTTGGCCCTACTCTGTCACCTATTTTAGAACATTCTTCTTGTAAGAAATTTAATGTTCTTTAGATTCCCTCTGCCACCCAAACAGGGACATAGAATAATAATTCTCTTTCCTGTGTAGTATGGTATCTAAGTTAGTAGCAAGAACCGAGTTTAGCTGGTTCATATGAAATCTTTATGCCCAAAATAATAATTTTTGAAAAGCCATATTCCAATTAATAAAGAACTCTATGGTTGTATAAATGACACAGTTACTGACTTACATGCTTAAGCCACCGAAGCATTGATCAGTGCACTGGGTAATCCCTTGGCAGCTGGTTGATAACACCGTTACCTTGTCAGTAACCCAGTAGATAAGAAACAACGGTCCACTGCTTTTGTGAAGTGTCTGCATCTGGTAGTTACATGTAACACCAAACCATCATTGTTTTCAGAGTGTCAATCCATATCTACAAGGACAGAGGCTGGACAATGTTGTCGCAAAGAAGTCTGTCCCCCATTTTTCAGATGAGGATGAGGACCCAGAGTGAAGAGAAGATGCTGAGTGGAAACTCACGCCCCTCACCACCAATGTGCACGTGTCCCTAAATCCCGGCAAATGGCAGCATGTTTCTGACGTAGATAATTATGGGTGAAAAGCAGCTGTATGTCGTTGTCCTTTACACTGATCACTCGGCTTTCTGCTAAGTTAGAGTAAGAGCTCTTTTTGTTTCTGTTTTTTTTTATGTGGATCTTCAATGAATATTAACATTAAGATGTATATGTCAAGTACTATAAGAAACAAGACTAGGAAATGCTCAGATTTCTTGTTGTTTAAGTGGTGTTTGGGGCTGTGCTATTTTGGCCAAATCTGCAGAAAAGCTGGCATTTGATTTTGATTATGCAATGCACCCAGCCCTCAGGCCTTGTTACACACCAATAAAGAAGTCTGTGCTCACAAGGAGGACCTGACACATCTCTCTTGGCTGTATCTTAGTAAATGTTTATGCAAGCATTGGCGTGTGAGTGTGGATTGTTTTTTGGTTTTTTTTGGATCATTGGAGAGAACAATTTTCTTATTTACTAGAACAACCTGACATGCTGAAACGTAAGACATGTTCTTATATAATCCTAATAGTGTGGGTGTAGGAAGAGTACAAAGTAGATGGAGCAAGTATTATCCCCACTTTAATGATATAACTGAGAATGACTAACACACCATTAATATAATCAGCAAAACTCATATGGGAAGGCTTTACAGGGCAGGTAGCCTGGCTTTGTCAAGAGATAATGTTAGCTGGTGGAGGAATAATACAGATTTTACAAGACTTAAGGGACATAAGAGACACGAATGAAATATATATGTGAGGGTCATCTTGGTATCCTGACTCAAATAATTTTTTTTTTAAATTGACCAGTTAATTGGAGAGATTTGAGCAGTGACTGGATATTTGGGCCATTTAGTTGTTACATCATATTATGATATTTTTAGGATCCCTTATCTCTTAGGTTAAGCATTAAGTGATATAAGGATTAAAACGATATGATATTTTAGATTTTCTTTGAAACAATCCAGTGGTCACATTGGGCATAGATGGAGGGATGAGCCCAGATTGGCCATGAATTGAGCGTTATGGAAATTGGGTCATGTGTACTTGGGCATTCATTTTACTTCTGCCTCAATATTTATGTATATTTGAAATTTCCTACACTAGAACCACATGGAAAGATTAAAGTTAACAGTAGATTACCATAAACATTGACCTGGAAATAGCAGTGTAGGACAAAATAGAAAGCTTTATGGATAAGGTTATGGAAAACATGAAAAAGCCAAACAGAAGATTAATAAGACAGTTTTCCTGGGGCATCATGGAAGAAGTCACAGGGAGGTATATGGCATAGAAAATCTGGTGAGTGGCTTGGTCAACTGGATGACAGGCACAGGGTAGCTGGGACAAAAAGGTATTTTGTGGAAAACAGAAAGAATCATGGAGGCATACAGACCGGGGAGAAGGTTGCCACCATTGAAGAGCCAGGTCACACAGCAGAGTCCTGGCCACATCTACAGCAGAGACTCTGATTTTTCTTTGGGGTAGGAAGGATGTGTTACCTCCTATCAGTTTTCCACAGTGCTCCAGTCAAGGAGCTTTGAAATCGGAAGGTGGTTGAAGCCAGAGACCCAAGAAGAACAAAAGAAGAGCATATTTGACACACCGCTAAAATGTAAGGCACATAGGGATAGTGTTAGCTATTAATCCTCACTCAACTCCCACTGTGTGTCTAGTCTACTGGGAGCCCCAGGACACAGGTATTCTCAGAGAAGTTTGCAGTGGGGCCATTCTAGAAGAGAATTTCCTCTTTGTCTGGAGAGGAGACAGAAAACCAATAGGTTGTTGAGTGTTTTCAGCAGCCTGTGTTTGAAGCTACCCTCTGATCCTATTGCCTACCAAATAAGTCACCAGTTTTAGTTTTCTAGGGATGGCTGTTCAAAATGTGTTTGTCTAAACGAAGAAGAACATTTCAGGATCCACCTGAAATTCCTGAATAGCACAGTGCTCACCTAGAAGTGCTTTTTACCAGGGAGGTGCGGAGCTGTGCAGCTACCTGGAGGTGATGGGACCTCAGGAAACTGGAGTCATCTGCTTGATTAGCACACAGTGACTGCCACGTGAGAAGGGACGATGGCCACCCACTCTGCACTTCCCAATCTCCTGAAACAGAATTCTGGTTTTGCTCTGTTTACCTGGCTAGGGACAAAGGGCAGCACAAACATATTTTTTCTCTTCCTCTCTTTGAAAGCTTTCAGATATAAAAAGTTTCACTGAGACATGACACAGTTACTAGCCATGGCCATAAGCATATGGCCTGGGAAGAGAAATCTCTAAGTCCTCCATATCTGCCACAGAATTACATCATGATTACTAAGATGTAGGTATCTGCACCCGGAAAAATGGGTACTATGTTGGTTACTTTTCTCTCATTGCCAGAACAAAACACCCGACATCTAAAATAAAGGAAGGAAAGGTTTATTTAGCTCACTGTTTGTGGAGGTTTCAGTCCATACTCAGCTACCTACAAGGCAGGGCAGCATGGCACTGGGGCAACACTTCAAAGCAGCAGCCAGAGCAAAAAGGGGAACCAGCCTCTTCTCTTCCCTTATATTGCACACAGGCCCCCCCCACACACACACATACCCTCCAGGATGGGCGTAGCACTCACAAAATCTCTGTGCCCTCCTCTTGTACAGGTTGAAAATATTTATAAAGTAAGGATCCCTGCTGAGTCTCTCATTAAACTTCTAAACTTCTCAAGGTGATACAATATATCAACCGTAACAGGTACATTTACTTAAAATAGCAAATGCCAGTTAGATTATCAGTTATAGAAACTCAGTCCTCCCGGAAGGAGTATGAGAGCAGTGGATGGGTAGAGGTGGGTACTGTTAGTCATTGTGCCTACTGTTGGGCAGGTAAGCATGCACAGGACAGAAAATGAGAGAACACTGGGGCTGTAGGTTCTGTTTCTGGGGTTTCTTTATGAAATGAGTTATGGAAAACACTGATCCAGTTATGTATCTCTGTGTATTGGTGGAAGGCAATATAAAAAGATAAAGGAAAAGCAGCTGTGAATCTTAGTGATAAACTTAATGCAGTGTGTGCAGACAATCCCATACCCAGGTTTTGGGATGGCATTACAGATCAATTGCAGTGGCAAATAAATATATTGGGGTCTGAGGATTCATTATGGTAAGCATTGTTGATTTCCTATTATCTTGTTTTGAAGTCCTATATCACTTACGCTGTTTTGTTTTCATTGGCTTTATTCTGTTTTATTTTGCTTGGTTTTATTCTCTTTAAAATAAAAAAATAAAATGTAAAAAAACAAAATTGATTCTACCTGTTCTCTGACATGCAAGCACTGCTTATTGGTTTACCCAAACCTCCTCTGTTACCCTGATGTCACAGTCAGTGGAAATACCATTTGAGGGGAAAAAGACAATCCATCAGAGCAGCTGAGCTATGAAGGCTCCTGAGGTCCCTGTTACTGTGCAGTCAGGATGAGCACTGCATGCACTCAGCGTGGAACACAGCAAGAGCTGTTTTTGTGTTTCCAAGAACTTTTCAAGCACATACCTGACTTAACAGCAAGTAGGACAGAATGTCCCTCTTCAGGGCCCTTTCAGACATTTGTCTAAGAATCTCAAAGTTGTTCATCAATCCGAAGTGGGAAGTGAAGTTAGAGCACCCTGAATCTGCAGTCATAGTTGTTTCTAGAGTAAAATTCAGGTTCACGACTACATATGCTGCCTCACCGCTGGCTAGTCCTGCCCTCCTTCTAGGATCCGGTGATTGCTTTTAAGAGCCAAGCAAAAGCAAACAGCAGACACATTTATACACTTTTCACAGGCCAGCTGGGTCTTACCATGCTACTCTACACATTCAGAAGGAGCCAGTGGCTCTCCCTCCAAGTGTGTTCCTCTTTTAGTCTCTGCTCCCCAAGCTTACACACTCATCCTCCACACACAAGAGGCTGCCATTCAACCTGGCCTTTCACTGGGCCCTCAGGTCAATTTCTCTCTCTCTTTCTTCCTTCCTTTCTTTATTTTAATATTTAAATTTTTATTATGTATGTTTGCAGCACATAATGGTTATATCCACTGTGGGAAATTGGAGAAGTACATAACGTATCTTTCCCCTCCATCCACATTTAAATTTTTTTCTTTTTGGTTAGCATCAGACTCATTTACTTATTTTATAAGTCTTTATCAAATTAATTATAATAAACACAGATCCTGCCAAACAGTTCAAAAAACGTACAAAATACATAAGATGCTTCCAGGAAGATGGCAGAGCCATAAACAATAACAAAGAAACCTCCCCAAAATTTGGAATCCAGACACTGGAAAATAATAATTTGTGGAAAAAAAGAACGAAAGAGATGGGTCCTATGGATCTAGGAGATATCTGAGGGGAAAATTGGGGCCCACAAAGAAATGAAGAGACAGATTACAATGCAGAAAAAAGAGGCAGTCCGTATTTTCTGCCCAGCTCCCCGCTGGCAGCAGGAGAAAAGAGGGTCAAATCTACAGACACAGTGAAAGCCGGTGACGCAGTGAAGAAGCCTTCAGTGGAGCGGAGCAGGGGGTGCCTCGTGCTGCAGCAGCTAGTCAGTGACTTAGTCCAGTCCAGTTGGCTTCGCCCCTGTAGAGAATCCTCGGTCAGATACCATTTTAGGGAGGGGCCGACTGACCTCCAGACTCAGAGCAACCAAGGGCTGGCTTTGAATCTGCGATCCTAGTATTAAGCCCCCATAGTGACAGGGTGAGGGGCGACCATGGGAGACGTCTGAGGTCAGACAACCATGGTCAGGCCAGCAATGCCCTGATCTCATCTCAGAGGCCGGGATCAGCCTGAACGTCCATGGATTTAAGGTGCCAGAACCAGCTCTCTGCCCTAACCCCACTGGAAGCTCCCTCCTGATAATCAGCACGGATCTTGGGGTCTGACTGCTTCCTGTGTCTGCCAGAGAGAGAAGGGCCACACTGTGAGCTGACGCTGCCCTAAACTATAGCCTTAGAAGGTAACCACGGGTTTGAAATCACAGAAACACTTTTTCCTTTCTCCTTCTTCTTTTCTTTGACTTTTGTCTGTTTTTAATTGTTTTTCATGATTATAAACATTGATTTTAATTTTTTTGTTTAGTTTCATTCTTGTTTTTGTTTTTTCCTTCTTTCTCTCCTGTCTTCTTTACTAGTTTCCCAAGGCTTGGGTAATCTTCCTTTGCTTCTAATCTCTTTATTTTCTTCTATTTCTCTATTTTTTTTCCTTTTTGCTTTTAAGTTTTTCCCCCTAGAGTAAAATTCTCTATTGAGTGGAAATTTATTGTATATAATTTTCTACTGTGTTAGATTTTACTATATAATTAAATTTTGTACCTGTGGTTAAAGAGAGTAAATTATTAGTTTTCACATTTTTTATATTCTAATATGTACTTGATACTATTTTTAATTAATTG